ACCTTTTGTTTATCGACATTATCTTTTAAACCGGTGGCTGGATTTGAGAAATTCTTTTTGCATGTGATTGTCATATATTAAAAGAAGATTTTAGGCAATTTAATATCACGCTATAACATTTAGAAGCTGCACAACTTAAATTTAAAGACGAATGAGTATAAAAATGATTTTAAAATGAGTTTATCTACCTTTAAACTGAACAATTCATAGTAAAACCACTACTGTTACTAGAACATACTATACAAAATTAATTTTGTTCACATAAAGCGTATAATCGCGTGCGAAATGGTTGTACATTCGCAGACAGAGCGAGACAGCAATACCTAGTACTTAGACACCGGTGCTAACTGGATCAAACCGGTTTAAAAATAGCTTAGATCGCTTGGAAAGCTGACAAATGTGCATTTAGAAAGAGTTTTTACTATATTGGATATTTGAATTGCCTTTTGTACTATGTAGGGGTAAGCAGAGAGGCAGGTATTATTTGTGAAACCATAATAATATTATTTGTAGCTACCATTATTCGCTAGTCATGAGTTCTATGCCTATAGGTGAGTCTATCACCATATAAGTACTGGATATAATTGAAGGCTCTGTGTTATTATTATTATTTTTATGGAATAAGCCGCACCACGAGAACACAGATCACCTGATGGTAGGTAAGCAATCGGCGTCGCCCATGTACACCTGGAACACCAGAGGCGTTACAAGTGCGTCTGAAATTTGGACTCAAGCAAGATCGCGAGGTCTCACGAGATTGCCTTTGTCTCGTGTGACCTCGCCGATTTCGAGATCTTCCGATATCGAGATTGCATTCCCTAAGATTCGTAATGTAGGGATATTGTCAAAAAAGATTCTATGTCGTAAGTCAATAGGGTAGTTGTCTAAATTTTATTTTAATATCCGTCTGGTATATTCATTTAAAACATTAGTATTTTTATATTCGTATATTTTCTTTTCTCACAATATTATATACTTTGACGATATATTAATCTGAAATATCGTGTGACGTCACAATGCATTACATTTTGCAGCACTTTGTGACGTAACGACCTCCCACTCCTAAACTTAACTCCATTTTATCTAAGTATTGTAACTTTATACGAGAAAAAAAAATACGTGTCAAATATTTTTTCATTACCTAACTGATGAACTAATTACATTTTTTAATTTTTTTGTCTGAGCCAGGATTTGATATCAAGCCTTTATATTCGATTGTCATGCTTGCGTCCGCTCGGCCAACGAGGCTGTAGTTTTTGCTAATTCAATGTCGTTATGGTCCAGTTATTAAGAGTTGAGACTGATTGTTCTAATTCCATTCTTGTATAAGGTAATAATACTATTGTAATTAGAATTGAAAATAGGAATATTTTGATCTACAGTGTTCATGTAGTAGCTAGGCCGTCTACGGCGCTACGTGCAGGTTTGATTCGGCTTGGAAGAATTGTAGTTCACAAATTTTTGTTCCTGTCGCTGCAACATAACATAACATCACGCCTTTTTATCCCCGAAGGGCTAGGCAGAGGTGCACATTTTGGCACTTAATGCACAATGTACAATGTAACACCCACTTTTCACTATTTATGTTATGAGTCCCATGAAAAGGGAGTATTGTCATATACCGGGCACAATTCCAGACTCCGTACTACAAAACTGAAATTAAAAAAAAAACAGTAATACTTTGCCAGACCCGGGAATCGAGCCCGAGAGCCCTTCGCCAGCTGTCACATGCGACCACTCGGGCAACGAGGCGATACAAACCTCTTTTTAGGGAAAAAAGAGGTTTGTATGTGTTCCTTCTCTGTATGTCAGTGGTATCTAAATATACCTAAAACGTATATTAGTATCGAAAACAAAAAAATAACGTACTTCTATCTACCCATATAGGGAAAAGCGTGATGATATTACAAAGGCGATTTCACAAGAACACCGTATTGATGTTACCCATAAAGAGATATATTTATGTTAATTGCTGGTTGCCATATTTGTAATAAGGCATTACGTTTTGTCAGGCAAACAATAAAATAGTTTCCTTGACTCCAGCTAATACAGATAAAGTAGGTACTTAAACTTCTTTGAACTTTATCTGATAATTGATAACGTAAACTTTTTATAAGATCATGGCTATTTTTCTATGTCAAAACATCAACAGTCCATGTCAAATCTCTGATAGAATATAATAGGCCTTTTTTTGATACGTGATATTGTATCAAAAAAAGGCCTATTATATTCTATCAGAGATTTGACATGGACTGTTGATGTTTTTATCCCCGAAGGGGCAGGCAGAGGTGCACATTACGGCTCTTAATGCCACTGTAATAGGGGGTGAGCCTATTGCCATATACCGGGCACAATTCCAGACTCCGTGCTACTACTGGTTTTTTTTTTAAAAACCCAGTCATACTTTGCCCGACCCGGGAATCGCACCCGAGACCCCTTACCCGGCAGTCGCACTTGCGATCACTCGGTAAACGACGCAGTTTTTTTTGATGACGCGGTAAAACCTTCCAGAACCACCCCGGAGGCCACATTCAACACCTCAAAGGGCCACCGGTTCCTCTGAAGAGATCTGCTCCGGAGCCCCCACGGTGCAACGCCTGTTACAGCAAATCCCTAGAGAGGCCTGCGCCGCGGGCCTGCGGACGACGAGCATGGGTTGCTCCCCGTCCGACCAGAAACAAACCCGAGCGTACGGCGCGTCGCGTTCCGCGCGCGCCTCAAAGAGCCATCAGACCACCACAGATGGGGCCCAATAGGACCGATGCCGATTCGGAGTCGCGGAGAACCTAACGGGTAACCGGGGCTCCGGCTCGACGTGTAGGAGCAGGAACGGAGTGGTTTTTAGTCAGTAAGAGTCTGACACTCCCTCCCGCCTCACCCAGGCGGGAGCAGTCATTCGATGATTCCCTCTCAAAAAAAAAGTTGGGACTATAGGTATCTTTTACATAAGGGTGCGTCCACAACTGGCGAATGTGCTGCTCGCGAGCTGCGCGCCTGCAGTCACGGCAATGGTTCGGTGCTCCACTTATACAAATTATTCTTTATCTTTTATTTGGTGGGTCTACGTTGGACCACTATCTCGCTCGCCTGGTGGTAAGCAATGATGCGGTCTACGATGGAGACTGCCGTCACCACAAGATTCAAGGAAAGAAGCTGTAGTATTGTGGAAAATTACTGAACAAAACATTGACTAAGGATTTAAATTCATGGGATCAAATGACTTGGTTACAAGGTCATTCTGTTGAGTTTAAAATGTACCTGTATCAGATATTTTTGATTAGATTTTTCCTTATATCTCATTGATAGTGGTCGCAACTGACGAGCTGAGGTCTCGACTTTGAATTTTGTTTTGAGTGTCCTGTTTTACGTGGGCGTCATTTGCCGGTTCAACGAGTGGTACTGGAAACCAGCGTGGCACAATGTATGCGTTCTGTTTCGCTGTGGGAATTAGGCTCCTTCCCAAAAGGTTGAAAAATTACATAGCTCCTGTGATGTTACAGAGCTCCTTCTCATTTTAGAAGAGGATGTGCAAATGGATAGTGCTGATAACTTACCATCAGGAGACATGTTAGCTCATTCGACCCTATTTTACGAAAAAAGATGTAGACACCCAACTATTAATAGAGTGATATGGGGAGTTTAAAATCGATTAACTTGTCAAGCTTACAGCCATTATCAAATAGGATTTGGCATTCAAATATAGACAAAAATTTTAATGCGGCCGAACTACATATGTGCGAAATTGCGCAGCTGTTTGTACTAAAAATATTATAGATATTGGATCAGTGACAAAAGCAATCTAGATTTCTTTCATACTTATCTAGATTTTATCGTCTAGTCTAGAGATTGTCTGATTGATTTGGCGCAATCAAAGTCCAACCATCATCAGCAGCGTATACCGTGCTGTGCCCACTGCTGAGCAAAGGTCTCTTCTTACAAGGAGATAGTTTGAGCATTAATCACCATGCTTGATTAAGGCGGGTTGGCAATTTGAAAATTTTAATTAGACATTATAGGTCCAGGTTTCCTTACTATGTGGTAGGTGTCTAAATGATATTATTAAAAAGTATGCATGCATGCCGCCTAGGCCTCTGTTTATTTTTCTTTATAAGTCAGTATACCTGCGCCGATCGGTACTGACCCTTACAGACCTGTTTCTTTATATATAAGCAGTCTTAGGCTTAGGACTCACGAAGCGATTTTCTCCCGCTCCCCCGTTGTGGGCCCGCAGCCTTTGTAGAATATAGATATATGTATGTAAAACAAAATAATTCCACGATGCGTTTTACGTCTGCGGCGTGTGCGATTGTTTGTGGCTTTCGGTGCACCGGCGCGGCGGGCGTTTTGTACCGGCGGGTGACGTGTACCGGGGGGCGCGAGTCTCAGTCCTGCACCCGTGCGCTCTGCGATCGGTTGGCGGAGCGATCGCAATGGGAGGGCCAGACTGGAACTCTAACTGATTGTTTAACCGCCCGTTTTGCGATAATCAACCGGTAAATATACGGGTGATAATTGCAACCGGGATGGCTGCGTAACCGCAGAAAATTGCAGTCTCGTGAGTTTTTTTTTTTTTTTTTTTAACGTTGCCCCACACTAGGATATTCTCCTGTGTCGTGGGTGCGTTTACAAACATACAAGTTCACATACACATCACACCCAGACCCGAAACAACAATTTGTGGATCACACAAAGTGTTGTTCCGTGCGGGAATCGAACCCGCGACACGTTGCTCGGCAGCCGGTTACCCAGCCACCGCACCAACCGTGCAGTCAAATCAAGTTTGAATCAAATCAATCAATCAAATCAAAAATAAAGTTTGAATCGCGGGTGAAAATCGCGTCGTGAGTCCGTAGCGTAAGGTCGGTTACGCACTTGCAACCCTTTCGGTCTTTGGGGTGCGCTAATTGCTTACCATCAGATGGTCCGTCTGCTCATTTGCGGGCCTATCCCAAAAAAAAAACCAAAATTAACACTACTAAAAGAATTAAAAAAATACTTACCGTGCTCCTTTTCATAGTGCTGCCGAAACTGTTCTAGGGCAGGATCATATTTGACTTCGTCAGGTAGACCCAGCCACAATTGCACAGCTCCATCAGTAAGATCAGTGGACACCAGCGAGTACTGACTCCTGGACAACTCCTCAGCAGGCCTGGGATGACGCCAGGATTTAACACTTTTAACAATTTTGTCCATTATGGAATTATTTTGACATTTCTCTTTGAAAACAGTTTTATTCTACACGAACACTATAAGATTTTTAGGTTATGTTTTGTTATGTCTAATTTGTTGTGTTGCGTTGACAGTTTAGTTTTTTCTGTTGGCAAAGGGGGAGTGTGTTTACAGCCTAGTTCAGAAGAAAAGGTTTTCGTACCTGCGTATTAACTTTTTTGAATTTTAAACTATTGTGGGGCACATTACATTAATTGTTATGTTGTACGGTGTCCTCATGTAACTGTTCTACGAGGTACCTCAACTAGATTCGAGCCACGCTAGGGACCCATAATCATGAGTAGTAAGTTGATGACCGATGCTGCGAGTGACGTGGGTAAGTCGTGCATCATAAATTGTAATATTCAAAATTCCTAGATTGCTTTGATTGATTGATTGTTGATCTAGCGGTTGCAAGTATGGGGTCTCCGGTTCGAATCTATTTTATTGCCATACATTCTAATTTCTTATTGGACAACAATAGCACATAATATTACGTGACGCGGGTAATGAACTTTGTATAGTATACAGCTTATTTAGATAAAAAAAAACTTACTCAGTAATGGTGCTAATTGCGTCGAAATCCATTAATTCAAACATTGCATTTGACTTTTTTAAAGTCGGCAGCACTTTGTAATATTATTTACTTTATTATAGATCTTATGTGGCAATTTTAACTATTACCTAACTTTATACAATCAAAATTGTTCTTTTAGCTTATTGGAACATATATTATTTTTTAATTACTATCTTCTGTCCACGATTTCCTACGCACATTCCCGTTTTCTCCCGTTCCCGTAGGATTTTCAGGATTTTGGCTGTCTTAAGAACCTTCTCCTAATAATAACAAATACAACAAAAAAAGAATGAATGAAATCGATCTAACCATTCACGCGTGATGCCGTGACCAAGGGAAAAGGATTCATTTTTATATAGATAGATTAGTACTGAAATACATGAAATGATTAAATATAAAAATAAGGAAATAAATAAATATGTAATTACAACTTAAAATAAACTAAAACTAATGGAGAAAATTAAATAAAAGAATACTAAAAGATGGCTATTTACAGAGAGCAATAAAAAATTCGTCCGCATCGACGTCAATAGGGAAAGTTCCCAGAAGGCTGTCAGCATTGCCTTTGCCATTGCCCGTAGTATCACTCCGGTCGAGTCGACCCTTTCGTGCCGAAGCATGGCTCTCCAAGACTTAAATGGTGATGACGATCAATCTCTAGACGTGCCAAGAGGTCGCGGAGAACTTAACGGGTAACCGGGGCTCCGGCTCGATGTGCAGGAGAAGGAACGGGGTGGTTTTTAGTCAGTAAGAGTCTGACACTCCCTCCCGCCTCACCCAGGCGGGAGCAATCATTCGATGATTTTCCCCCCTTAAAAAAAAGACGTGCCAAGAGAGTGGTAGACCACAATTTCAAAGATTCAGAGGCTTTAGTATCAATTTATTTTACGTTTAAAGAAATCGAAACGAGTACGCGTTCTGATTGGCCGGCTCCAATGAAGCAACCAATCAGCGTCGAACGCGATCTCCTTTCGACCATTTTTAACGATGTACCTAATTCAAACTCGTACTAAGGCCTCAGGTTTATCAGAAAGGGTAAAATTGCAATTAAGTCATTGACATTAATGCAGCAATGTTTACCGATACATTTGAAGATGTTTTGTGGAAATACCCGCATACGAAAACTCTTTCTTTTTCCTTATAGTTTTATAAGGAAACGATCTTAACGACCCTACTTTAACTTTTTGTCAATAGGATTTTGAATTTAAAATGAATTTTTTAAATAGTTTTATTTTTATTGACGAAATATGGTTTCGGGGTATTTTCTATAATTATGTTTTTAGGAGAATTTAGATGTTTGTTTGCTTTAGTCGAATACATTTATAACCATCTCTTCTCATTCCACAAGCGTCGTAAGAGCTCGAGCTGACCATCTTTTTAACTGACGTCAAACAAAAGTAGGTTCTCATTTTGACCTATTATATGTATGTTTGTTTGTGCGCGATCATCATCGCCGATCATCATCAGCGCGATTGTCTGAATCGAGTTTGACCGTCAAACAGTCTATAAGGGCCCACTTGAGCAAAGTCTCTTCTCACATGGAGAAGGTTTGACCACGCTTGCTCTTTGCGGGTTGGTGATCTCAAACATATAATTAAAATATTAAGAAATAATATAGATATATAATTGGGCCTCCGGTAACCTAACTCACACGACGAAACACAACGCAAGCGTTGCTTCACGTCGGTTTTCTGTGAGGCCGTGGTGTCACTACGGTCGAGCCGGCCTATTCGTGCATGCATGACTCTTCCACACTTGATATGGACACTGACATTCACATCACCAGAGAGTCAGAAGTGAGTTGTCGGAATACTAAGGAGTTATAAAAAGTAAACTTTTAGATTACCTAAAATATTGCCACATAAGAAACCACACTACTGTTGATGTAAATAGGAACTAGATGTAACAAGGAGAGAGGAGTTAAGGTTCAAAGTAACTTAGGTACAGTCGCTGTTAAAATATTACGTGTTCAATAGGTAAGTAAATAATTATATATTATTAATAATTTAATGCTGTAAGTTTTTTTGAGTGGTTACAGGTACGACTGCCGGGCAAGGAGTGTCGGGTTCAATTCCCGGGTCAGGCAAATTACTGGTTTCTTTTTATGAAAAATTCTTAGTAGTAGTACGAAGTCTGGAATTGTGCCCGGTATATGGCAATAGGCTCACCCCTATTACATCAGACTCATAACTTAAGTAGTGAAAAGTGGGTGTTACATTGTACAGTGGCATTAAGTGCCGTAATGTGCACCTCCGCCTACCCATCCGGGGATAAAAATCGTGATGTTATGTGTATCTTTTTATAACCTTACGCTTTTTATCTCTGAAGAGGTGACCATTACGGTACTTAATGCCACTAAAATAAAGGAATATCTGATAAGTAGGGGGTCACGGATACCCATTAACCGCAGCCTAGCCTCGAAGCAGAAGTAAGAACGGGGTTAAGTCAGTTTTTTTTAAGGGGGGAAAATCATCGAATGACTGCTCCCGTCTGGGTGAGGCGGGAGGGAGTGTCAGACTCTTACTGACTAAAAACCACCCCGTTCCTTCTCCTGCACGTCGAGCCGGAGCCCTGATTACCCGTTAGGTTCTCCGCGACGGGGTTAAGTCAGTAAGAGTTTGACAGTCCCTGTCGCCTCACCGAATTCGGGAAAAGCCAATTAATGGCTTTCCATTCCAACTGAAAATATCTAAAATTTTAAATTTCAGGATTTTTTCAGCTGACTGTATATAATGAACCGCTGAAACCATGTTTACAGGATCTGATAAAGGTGATTACACATAGCACGGTGTTAAAATATAGTGAGAAAGCACCTTAATGATATAAAAATTTGATTTTAATTATATTGTTGATTTTAAGTTGTGAAATAGTACGCTATCGGTTTAATGGTTGAAAAAGTGTGAGTGTAACGATCAAGGTTCGATTTCTGTGCTGGGTGAAGGGTTCTAAGATGTTTAGGTAATTCAGTACTTTCTATAATCAAAAATAAATAAATTCAACTGTTCAATACAATAAAATATTTAAACATTTTCATTAATTGATTTTTTGACCAACTTAATTTTAGTATTTTATTAGCATTTGTTTACGCAATAAGTATGCTGTTTGACGCTAAAAAACGTGACGTCACAATCCACAATCTCGTACAAAATTCATAGAAAACTGTCGTTTTTGACAGTTCGAAAAAAGTATTGAATTTGACTGTGGTCAAGTACCCGATTGGTTCGTTAATAGAATACCTGTTGAATACGGACTTTCAGAATCGATTCCAGGTTCAGTCCATTTATCATCAACATCAATAGCCTTTTTTAACCTCTCGCGCGCTTCTCATACACACAGGTAAATACACGCTGACTGCACGGTTGGTGCGGTGGCTGGGCAACCGGCGGCCTGCAACGTGTCGCGGGTTCGATTCCCGCACGGAACAACACTTTGTGCGATCCACAAATGGTTGTTTCGGGTCTGGGTGTCATGTGTATGTGAACTTGTATGTTTGTAAACGCACCCACGACACAGGAGATAATCCTAGTGTGGGGTAACGTTAAAAGAAAAAAAAAATAATAATAGAAAAATACGTCAAGATTAATACGTCATCGTCATCATTAATATACGTCAAGCAAAAAATATCCAATCGATGCGCGTTTCTCGTACACCCGTGTGTACAATTGCGCGATGGGCACTCGACTCTCTCGTACACCCGTGTGTACAATTGCGCGATGGGCACTCGACTCTCTCGTACACCCGTGTGTACGAGTAGAGATGGGATTTTACCCGGAAAAAACCCGAATGTGGGAAAAAACCGGGAAAAAACCCGGGGAAAATTCCCGAATGGGAAAATATTCGGGTTTTTTCATATTTAACACATGTAACAAATAAGTAATGTGTAGATTATGTACATATCATATAGTACGTACTATTTAAGAACTATTACTACAAGTTAGAGCTAATCTAACTTTGTTTATGTTCATATTGCAGTAATAACGTTCTTATTATCCTTAGGTACCTACTATCAAATGAAAGAAAATGAAATTAAACAAAAATCCTGTCTGTTTGTGTGTGATACTCCGCTCTTAGCGACAGGTAATCCGAAAATACGTAAGCGGGTAGAGGGGCAGGGAAGCAGGTAGAAGAGGGGCGAGCGCGTTGGTGATCTATCTATCTCACATGTTGTTTCGGCTTCATACTGTGCGCACTCGTGTTAATTTGTTGGTTTAATTGACGACTTGGATTTTGTTTGGTGGACTTTTGGTTACCTAATCCTTTGAATTGACAATTTAACGTTTCAAAGTTCTAGTGCCTTATACACGCTGGTGCAAAGTACTACTCTGTCAAGAAAGTACCGGGAAAAGATCAATAATACAAAAATGTCTGTTATTCATCCAAATTTATTTATTTCCTTCACTTTTGCGATGTTAACTACAGTTGCAGACCAGAGCGAGGCAAATCTTCCATTACATCTCGAACGCTTTGAACCACTCATAAGCACGTGTTTTTGATAAAGTCGATTCACCGTAAGCTTTCTGTAACATTTT